AAACTCGGTAGCTTTAAAATAACAGAAATGTATTCTCTCACAGTTCTAGAAGTCAGACGTCGAAATCAAGGTGTCAACAGGACCATACTCTTTACAGAGGCTCTGAGGAAGAATTATTCCATGGCTCTTCTAGCTTCTGGTGGCTGACATATTCCTTGGCATCCCTTAGCTTGTGGCTGCATCATTCTAATCTTTGCCTCTGTCTTCACACCATCTCCTCTCCTGTGTGTTTCTTTTCTCCTGTGTCTATTTCAGTAAGAACAATGTAATGTCTCTTTCATGATGAAAGTGGTCCCATGTAGTCAAGCTGCCACCAGGTAGCTGGCTGATTACCCTGGGTATGGTGCCATATTAAGGATTCAGTGTTCATCTCCGCTGCTGGCAGATTGGACACTCGGTGGTGGCTATAGCAGGTCAGACTTGGTGAGTGGAAGTCCGTGTTGCTGAGCCCATGATGACCTCCCTCTCTGCCACCATGGCCATTTTGTTCCTGAGCCCATTGGACAATGACAGGAGTGACTGGGAAAAGAAGCTGACTGGTATTCACAGAAAAGATCATTCTCTTCACTTGATTATTAAACTCCTCTTCTGCTGAGGTTACCTTTTGGTGAGCATTCACATGGGATACAAATATCTTCATGACTTTCCATGTCTTTCTTTAGAAGCTCAATCACTCATTCTCTGGATAAGCACTGCCTATCTCTCAGTGCCCCTCAACTAGATTTATATACTGTGCATGTCCAGCACTCTTTTATTTTTTTTTTTTCTTTTTGCTATTGGTTACTTAATGAGCAGGTCTGCATAGGTGAAATTTCCAGAGAATTGAATCTTCTATTAACCCAATTACTGCTAAACTGTTTCAGATTGGAATTTTATTCAAGTATATTTTTCCACTTTAACTTTCTTAAACAAAGGAAATAATTGGAATTTAATAAGATAAAAATTTATCTATAATCTCTTCGAGTTAAATAAACCATACATACTTATTTCTGTATTTTTCTAAGTCCTAGTCCCAAAGTGTACATAATTTTACAGTGCTATAACAGAACAAAGTAATTTTGTATTATGCATTTTTGATTTAGCATTAAAGCATTGTCTATATTTCTTCTCTAACTCTTAAGAAAATGTAAGTTGTTACAGCACATAAACATAAAATGTAGGCAATTTTTATTGCCTTAAAAACAATAGAAAGTTATTTTTTCCCATAATAATCCACTGTAGATGTTCCTGGTAGGCAAAGACTCTTGTCTATCCTCTGAGGCAGAGACCCAGGTTCCTTCTATCTTGTGGCTCTGGCATCTCCTAGAGCAACATGGCCACTTGTTGAGTCTGTGGAAGGTGAAATAAACAGCATTATTTCATGATTAATTTGATTCAGGTAGGGATAAGATAGGGATCAATTTGATGCTATACAGCCCGGGCTCTAAGTTCCCCAGAGGCATCTGAGGAGGCATATCTGCTTCTTACCATTGTTAGCCCAGAAAGAACACACATTACTTCTGTGCTCATTCTCAAACACTAGTTTATCACTCGTTGTGAAAACTAGTCATGTGGCCACACATAGACACCAGGAAATGTTGCCCCTGGCTGGATACCCTCTCCTGAGCAAGCAACTCTGTACTATGGAAGGGGATCACAACTTTTTGTGGACTATGAACCAAGTCTGCCACAGCTGCACGACCTTCATAATTATCCTTTTAAATGGCTGAATATTCCTTAAGTTGATACATCATAGTTTATTTAATAGGTTCTTCCTTTTAGACATTTTTAAAGATTGTTTAAATTTTTTCACTTCTGATGACTGCCACTATAGGAGATATCTACACATACATACCTCTTCTCTATTTAAAGATTATTTCTTTAATAATTCTAAAAACTGGGAGAGATAGAAAATAATAAAATTTACAATAATTTTTCAGATTCTTGAATCTATAGGCTCATTATTCAAAGTCACTGACTAAATTGTATTCATTGCTTTATCTACAGGGTCCTCTACATTGCCTGTTTCATGGTAATACTCAATAAGACGAGTTGAGCGACCAAATAAATTTTAACAAGAGCATGTGGAACATAATTTATCATGGCTCTGGGTAATAATATGAGTGTAATTATTGCCTATGTCTTTTCTGACTTGATAAATGGCACCACATCCCTCAAATTTTAAGAGTAGAAAGCTGTGCAAGAAAGTACCACAAAATTTAGTGGCTTAAAACAATAAAAAATATTTAGTTAACACTTTCCATGGGATAGGAGATGGGTTGTTCTGGCTTTGGGATTCCATGAAGTCACAGTTACATTTTGGTGGGAGCTTTGTCATATGAAATCTTGACTGGGGCTGGAGGATACACTGCAAGCTGGCTCACTTACGTGGCTCGCAAGTTGGTGCCGGCTGTTGGTGGGAGGCCTCAGTTTCTCTCCACACAGGGCTCCTTGAGTGTCTTCATGATACGGTGACTGGTATCTCCTAGAATGAGCAATCCAAGAGAGCAAGGCAGAAGTGGCAGTTATTTAAGGACTCACCTTGAAGTCTCACACTATTACTTCTGCAGTGTTCTAATTATCACCTAGCTCTGCCTTATTCAGTGTGGGAGGAGACTGCACAGAGGCATGAGTGCCAGAAGACAAGGATCATTGGGAGCCATCTTAGAGGCTGGCTACCATAGCACCCCTCTTCTGTATTCTGTTCCATCTACATGTTCTGTTCATTCTCTTTCCAAAAATATATCTCAAATATAATCACTTCTCTTCATTTCTACTGCCTCTAGCCTAATCCAAGACACTATCCACACTCCGCTCTGCTATGACAGCCTTCCATCTGATCTTCCTTCCACTCTTGTCACTCTCTAATGCATTTTTCACATAGCAACCATTTATTCATCATTCATTTATTTTTTTCAATTAATTAATTCAACATATATTTATTAAGTACTTACTACATGCCAGATTTGTTTTAGATTCTCGTAATATAGCAGTAAAAAAATACAAACTCCTGAGAGCTTATAAATAGTGGGGAAATTAATAATATGTATAATACAGAAGATTAAAACAGGGTAAAGGAAATAGAGGACAATAGGGAAATTAGAGACTTATAAGTACTGTATTATATAGGGCTGTCAAGGGTGCTATCTCTGATTAGTTGGCATTGGAATAGAAACCCAAAGAGACAGGAAGGGGCAGGT